AGCATCTTGTAACCCTTTATAAAAGTGTGCTCTCAATTGTTTTTGATGAAGCCTAATGAACCTCAATCGAGAAGATTCCATCATTGTATAACCATCTACCAAGAATTGCTGAAATAATCTTCTAGCTGACACAATTGTTGGAACTTCATCCTTCCTTTCTTGAATTTTATATGATAAGTACTCACGCGTGCTAACACATTTCCTTCCACTGGTCGAATCATCAATATCATTTAAAGGAATATCTTCTCGGTATCCGTCTTCACCATACGGAAATAGTAATGGATATTGCAAACCTAAGTATGCTGCATTTAATTCATTTACCCTTTGTAGTTGTCCAGATTGGCTTTCAACTATGATATCTCTGTCAGACCTTGTTTGTTCAAAATCTCCAACGATCAAAGCAGCTACCTCTGAAACTGTTGGTAAATTGTATCTTCTTCCATCAGAGCCTCTTTTCCCTATCAATCTAAGTCTAACATTTGAGGTCCGGTCTGTTTGAAATTGATCTCTTACCATTCTAAATGACTTTGCAAGAATATTGTTGTCATCAAGCATTTGCTTCAACTCATTCACAATTTCAGCATGAAGTTGATTGTTCATTTCACCACGGCTGTAAAGAAAAGTATTGAATTCAACTAACAATGTATGTCTTATAAAAAATATAATTTAAAAATATTTTGAGTAAGCAATTGTCTATGCTAACCTGATAGCATGAATTCTATTTTCCACCTCATTTTCTGTATCATAGATATACAATTGTGCAAATTTTGGAGAAGATCCCTCCGGAGGCAATAAGCTTCCAATCTGGTGATAATTTTGCCCAGACAATCTGAATGTTCTAGGTCCCTTTGTTTTGTTGACAAAGAAATCCACCTTTCCTCCCATTGATGTAAATGCAAATATAGAATTATATGTTCGAATGTTCTCTCTGAAATATTTGCTTTTTGCACCTTCGTGAAATTAGGTTAGGTTAAAGAAGATATATATATATATATATATATATATATGCAAAAATTATAGTGTCGTTATTTTAATAAAATGAATTTATCTATTAACCTGATCCAAATAATAAATTCTTCAAATTCGAAGGAGGCTCCTTTGGATTTGGTAGCTTGATTTTTCCACGACCGCAACACAAAGTGAAAACTGGTTTTTTATTTTTATACTTCTTGTCAACTCTTTCCTCAAACCAGAAATATGCCCCACAATATTCACATTCATAATTGCCATCTCCAATATCCCAATATTCTGGTTTTATGAGAGTAAAATAAAGAGATAAAGTTAAAGTACTTATTATAGAGAAAGTAAAAGTATGTTGTATATGTAACTTTAAATTATGTCATATTTACCTTCATTGGTCATCCAGCTCTCTACTTCATCATCTAAAAATAATAATAATTAGTGCTTAAAATTTAAAATTTAATATAAGGGGAATTGTTAATACATTTTAATATTATCGAACATTGATGAGTTATATGTGAATACTTTCAAAAACATCGTCATCNTGAATACCTTCAAAAACATCATCATTTTCATTTGCATCATGAATTTGTACATCGGATTGCATATGACCTTGATGAATAAATTAAAAATTAGTAAACTTGTATGTATGAGTATGAGTTGTGGTGAGTTCAATGGCATACCTGGTATATCAGCATCAATATTGTCATCTTCAAATTCTAAACATAAATATTAATTGTTAGCCTTTTTTCAATTTCATATTGAAGAAAAATTATATTGCAAAACTGAATTTGAAATTATAGGGGTGCATTTAAAATAATGAAAATTGCAAAAGTATAACCCAAAAAAAAAAATTACTCATAGAAGTAGAATTGTAAAATAACAAACATGGTGTACTTGAGAAAATAAAGAGAAGCAAATAAATGTTTAGTTTTTTTAAATAATTATGTTGCCCAAATTTCGCATATAAGTTATATGTGTATAAATAAATAAAACTTCATTATTTATGTGGACATGTATATAGGGGCACAAAAAATTGTCTTCCTCAAATTTCAAAAATAAGTTAAATAAATTAAGCATAAATATTTACCTTGAAATAATGGTATCTCATTTAAATCAGGTAGAAGATGTTCTTTCTGCAAATTTGAACTCGACAAACCATATCGCAAATTATGCTCTTGCATTGGTCTTGGACATTGTGCTTGAGAATAAGATGATGAAACTTGTCTACAACTCTTTATTGGGGTACTACTAAATCGAGGGAAATTTAGACGATTTGTTATGTCCGTTAATGATTGTTTTGTTTTCCCTTTTTGAGAAGCATTCCCTATGATAGTAGTATCAACCAATTCTGTAAACCATAAAATAAAAACAAAAAAAAACTAATTGTTAGAAGTAGAAAAGGATAGGAAAACTATCAAACCAATTTTTATATACTAAATTGTATGTAAACCAAGTTAACATGTAGCATTTTTTTTTATTTCATGGTGGTCAAGATAAAGTTTAAGTTTATTGCAATATTGATCTTGAAAAAATAATTTTATAGCTGGGTTTAGCTTAAAAAATAATTATTGACTTTTGTGTTTTAACAGTTTCATCATTACTTTCAACCTCATTCCATTAAGTTAAACTAAAGGTAATACCTTAGCAAACTTATGGAATTAAAGATGGTCAAGAGTGTATATAGAAGTCAAATACAAACCGACTCCCATCAATAACGGTTAATTTTGGCTAAAAACTCGCATAACTAATCACATGAATTAAATCTTACTTCGCCTTTAATTAGTCATACTTCCAATGAAAATATAAACTGCCTATCAAACAACATGTTAAATTAGATGGCTAACAAATCTTCATTTAAAAGTATTGTAAATATTAAGGCTAATCAACCAAAGAAATATTTTTTTTTTAAAAAATAAACATCGTAAAAGAGAAGATAAATCGCTTAATAAAAATTTCAAAAGTAGAACGACAAAAAGCAAAATTCATAAAAATTATAATTCTATATTTATAACAAATTTTTTTTACTTATAATAAAATAAACAAAAGCAAATAATAGCATCACATTAACCTTTTAATTTATAAATTATTCTACTGGCCAGTCCATTACGCATATCAGATAAAAGTATATAAGTTAAAGAAAATTTATTTTTGTTATTTGCCGGAATATCAACACGGAAGTTTGACTTCCTCAAATTTTCATTTAAGATATAACAAAATTTACACAAATATTTACCTTGCAATAATGGTAGCTCATTTAAATCTGGTAAAAGATGATCATTTTGCAATTTTGAAGGCGAAAAATCATATCGCAAATGTTGTTGCGTTGAATTTGGATTTTGTTGTTGAGAATGAGATGATGAAACTTGTTCACAGATCTTTATGGGTGCACTATATAATTCAGGGAAATTCAGACGATTTGTTATGTCCATTAATGATTGTTTTGTTTTTCCTTTTTCAATAGCATTCCGTCTGATAGTAGTAGAATGGACACAATCTGTAAACCATAAAATAAAAAAGAGGTAACTGTTATAAGTGGAAAAAGGTACGGAAACTATCAAAACCAATATAATGAAATAATTTATCAAATCTTTAAGGGCAATAACCATCATTAAAGGTTAGTATATAAGATTTGATATGCTGAATTGAAAAAATAAAGCTGTAAAACTTAGGAGTGACTGCTAGCTGAAATGTCCAAAATTCATAGAATCCAAAACTATGACCAACGAAAACTTTTACCAACTTGGCAAACAGTTCAGAAAGCATAATTAAAGGTTAGTATATAAGATTTGATATGCTGATTAGATTTGTGATTTTTCTCTACTTGCAACTGAGTAAAGCAGGTATAAAAGCGACTAATAAAGATGATAAACCTGTACGACTAATCATCAAAAGTACCTAAAAATTACAAATGCTCTAAATTTTTAAAAATGCATAAGATGTATGGGATGGGTAAACATATAAAAAATGATAAAACATATGACATAATATATTTTAAATTTATGCAATGATATATCAAATAATGCATATTCGGAAGAAAGGCGATATACAACATAATAGAGACTAATATGGTGTACGAATCAGAAAGTTCTTACGATATATAAGACACATAATTTTTTATACTTATACTTAAATTTCAGCATCCAATGCATCTATGAAATTGAACAAATAGTAGAACAAATATACTTAAATTTCAGCATCCAATGCATCTATGAAATTGAACAAATAGTAGAACAAAAAGATTTAGTAAGAGACCGAATTTACGTCAAATTATTTTAAGAACTGCAATATTGCTCATGATCTATATAATATTAAATTTTCATACCGTTCGAGGAAAATTTAGCCTGTTTCTGCTTCTGTATGCATATTCGATTTTTTCTTGCGAGTTTTTTCTATTGTTCCATGTCAAAATGCTGTAAAAACAGAATTTTTTCCGAGAAGTTGTAGAGTCTTTCGCAATTCTATCAGAAATTTTATAGGGCTTCTTGGCAACCCCTCAGTCTATTGATTCCGATGAAAAACAAACTCTATTTTCTTCTGATAGTGTAGGACGAAGTCGAAAATTTCTGAAGCAACCACAACAGGCTTGACTACAATAATTTTAGAAGAAAAACTAATGTAAACAAACGTAAAACCATGAAAGCAGGACTACGACATACATCTTGTTATAGAGATGATTGACGCTGAGGCAGGCAGGAGTTGGAAAATTGGGGTAAGAAACTGAATTAGGTTTGAGAAATTGAAGAGACTTCAACAAAAGAAGCAGTTGACGAAAAGAGGGCATATCTGATGCGCCTCTTTTTTGTTCGCAATTTTTTTTTTGTGCAGTAGTATTTTTAGTTTACTATACGTCTAGTCACCCCTAAATCCTAATCCCATAAATGTATTTTCGAAATAATTAAAAATTAAAGTACAACAGGAAACTTAATTTATATATTACCAATATATTTAAAACTCATTGAAGAATGAGTTAGCCCATTGTTATTAATTCTTAGCAAGTTCCAACTTTTACCAAATTAACATTTTTACTAATATTGTGAATATTTACAAATCGTTGTGTCTATGTACATATATCCATAGGAGGAACGAAATTCGTCTCCCATGTTTCATATTTTAAAGCCGGTGTGGGTTGTGAAATTTGATCGTAAGAGTATGTTTGGAATATGTATGTTTTTTCCTTTTTCTTATCTTATTAACATATCGCACATATGGTCTAGTTATATGTGATGTAATATCATAAGAAATTACATATTTTTGGATTTTTAGATTGCCAAATAGAAACATAATGGCTAAATAGTCTTCAGATGAAGAGAGGTAGAATTTGTAATTGTTGTTCATTTGTCGTATGAGCAAATCGTCATGGTTATGCAACGGGTGGTGGTTGGAGCCATTGTTCCTGCATTATTTGATACCCCAAGAATGAGTTGGTTAGAAGAGTTTGTGTGATGACCCGATCCGTCGTCTCATGAGTTACTACCCCGTTCTTCCCATTTTCTGCTTTCTTATGTTTCATTACCGGTATGGGGTGCGTTAGAATTGATTTGGAATGATTTTGATAAGAAATGAGACACTTAGTCTCTTTTAAGAAGGTTTAAGTTGGAAAAGTCAACCGGATATTGACTTGTGAGTTAGAGGGCTCGGAATTGAATTCTTTAAGTTGGAAAAGTCAACCGGATATTGACTTGTGAGTTAGAGGGCTCGGAATTGAATTCCAATGATTCGGTTAGCTCCGAGTGATGATTTAAGGCTTAGGAGCGCAATCGAAAGTAATTTTGGAGGTCCGGTGAAGAAGTTAGCCTATTTTGGTGAAGTTAGTATTTTGGCAATTTCCGGTTGATAGGTGAAATTTTGATCCGGGAGTCGGAATGGAATTCCGAGAGTTGGTGTAGCTTTGTTATTTCATTTTGGACTTGTGTGCAAAATTTGAAGTCAGCCGGACGTGATTTGATAGGTTTCGGCATCGGAAATAGAAGT